GATCCCACATACAGACCGGTTCCCGCTCACTGGCTGAGCGAGGCGCGGGAGCAGCACCGAGGGTTGCGATCCCGTTGCCGGTCCCCAGTCCGGTACGGGGGCAACACTGAGGGTTGCGATCCGTTGCCGGACACAGAAAAAAAGACAAAAGACAAAAAAAAAAAAGCACTATTCTTTTGGTACTATAGTGCAGTGTTATTAAGAAAACTATTCCTAACAGTTTAATCTGAAACTACTGCCAGTTTATATCACATTGCAGGCCCTGATTATTTGAGGCAGTAGCTTACATTTCTGTCAATTAATTAGTTTATAATATATTAATAGGAATTCACTATCGGATAATACCAGACATGACTGACAGTTTCATTACAAGTGCCATTAGGCACTTACAACAGTTAGAAAGAAATTACGACACAAACTACTACTACACAGGGAACTAAAAGTAAATAAGGATGGTAAATCAGAAAACCTACTTTCTAGTCTGGGCTCTGCCACTGACAAGCTAAATGTCCTCAAAAAAAAAAAAGTCACTAAATCCTGAAACTCATTTTACAAAATATTATATGAGGGTACTTCAAAAAGTTCATGGAAGGGCCGGCCTGGTGGCGCACTGCTGCAGTGCGCCGCTTGGGAGTGCGGTGGCACTCCCGCCGAGGGTTCGGATCCCACATACAGACCAGTTCCCGCTCACTGGCTGAGCGAGGTGCGGGTGCCCTGCAGTCGAGATCTTTAATTAGAGCTCTAGCTGCACAAAATATAATAATATCCATGCTTAACTATTCTAATGAAAATTACAGATGTCCTCACAAAGTTCAGAGGTGGCACCTTGTTTTTTCATCATCATCTGCCTATGGAGGCATTTGCTAAATTACCTGATAAAGAGCAATTATTAGTCATTGGCTCTACGGTCACTGATGCATCCCTTTCCCCCAATCACAAAGCCTCTCAAGGTCCATCCTATCTCAATCCTTTTGGTAGCCTTTTGGAGTATCAGGAAACTCTTAACTATACGTGTTCTACTTTGGGGCCTAGAAGAAATAACTTTTGACTGTTGTCTGGGCCATACCTGTATTCAAGGGAACTTCATGAGATCATCCCAAGTCCATCTTCTAAGACAAACCCTTCATTCACTGATATTCTCCTGCTTCTGTGCTTTGCTGAGATATAAGGAATTCTGGAATTTTGCTGTTTTCTTAGAGACTACCTATGACTGAAGTGTGGGACCTTTCAGCTCTCAGTTCAATTGTCTACTCCCATTGGGGTTGGGTGGGTGACAGGCTCCAGAATTTTCTCAGGTACACATAATAATGCCTCACTCTGTCATTTAATTTCTAGTCCTCTTCCCTATTCCTCAACTTCCTTCAGTCTCTAAAGAAGTGCCGTCCAGTGCAATTTTTTTGTGATGATGAAAATGTTCTATCGTTGACTGTGGTGATGGTAGCACCTATCTTTGAATATACTAAAATATATTAAATTGTACACTTTGAAGGCTCAATTGTATGATATGTAGATTATAACTCAATAAAGCTAGATTTAAAAATGTAACAACAACAAAAACAGGAACAATGTCAATTATTAGCCAATGGCAAATTCCTTCCTAAAACACAAGTTCCGTGAGGACAGGGATTTTTATCTGTTTTGTTCACTGCTATGTACACAATGCCTCGAACAATATTTGGCACATCATAAGCACTCAAATATTCAACATTATCAGTAACATTTTTATTTTTAAAATTAAGTGGTCGTATATGAGTGTTATACTATTCTTTATCTCTTTTGTTTGTCTTAATCGTACGTTTTAAAAAGAATTAGTTAAATGAATTTTACAACCCTAATAGCATTGCAATTATGCAGAAAGTCACCCAGAATGTAGTGAAGAAATAAATTTACACAAATAATGTTCAAACTCCTTCAGATTTATGATTTGTATTTTGTAGGGTACATCTTCAAGCACTCAGTTCTAGTACTCAGTGATTTTCAACTCATACAAAATTCTCACAATGATTATACAATTTCTCAAAACTGCAATGAACCAAATTGACTTTAAGAAAGCTGGTATATTGACAGAAAAGAAAGCAAATTCCAAGAGGCAAATTATTCTAAGAAAGCGAGGCAATATTAAGCTTTCAGAAACAAAACTGTTATTTTTAATATTGCTAAATTTGAGGGTCCTTAAAAGGATAAAATTTAGTTACCTGAAAATTTATTTACACGGAATACCTCATTCTCTATATATACATACACACGAATTAAAAATTTCCATATAACTATATTTATACATTTACTTGATTGCCCTGGGCACACTTTCAGATAAGTTAATACATTCAATGGTTTATGATTGTTTGATTGGTTTATTTTTCATATTCAATTAAATCAAGGCTTATGGCTAAGCCCTCTTATGCCTAAATCCTCATAGATTATTTTATGCTAATATTATATTCAAAGATGACACAGTCTCACTTATATAAATTTGCTGATTATCCTAAGTTTTAATATATAGTTTCAAAACTCATCAATCGACTAATCAGTACTGGGAACAGAAAAAAAAATCTAAAAAGTGACAAATTGTCATATTAACCAAATTATATAACTTGCAGAGAAGTCTTACAAATTCCCTACTCTGGGCTGGCTAATTAGCTCCGTTGATTAGAGGGGGTTCCATCCCTGTAGCAGCCAGCTGCCAAAAAAGAAAAAAAGAGAAACTGCCTACTCAAATTCCTAACTTTATAGATTAAGAAAGTGAGGTGTATTACTGGGCCTAGATGCTGCCTTGTACCTTCTCTAACATGTAAATCCCAGTATCTAAGAACAGAAACTTACTTTTTTCACAATAATAATATGGAATGACTAAAAAACCCATTTTAAATCAGGAATTTAAATAGCAATTTAATACTGTGACGGTCTGCTGAGGCTAACGTCTGGAATCCTGCTCACAGTGCCAATTGCAGAGCTCTTAATCCTGTTCATGCCGCCAATTGTAAAGCTACTCGACCACGACTACACCAGTTGTGGTGCTCTTTTACCTGTTGGTAATCCTGCACCGACTGGGCCGATGGTTGAGCTAAGGCTGGGTCTGGAGCCCACAGACCCCTCAAGCCCATTCACAGACTGGGCCACAAACCCTTCATATGCCAGGCTGGGTCACAAGACCCCTTACACACAGGTCTATGAGCTAGGTAACCAGCCAAAAGGTCTTTGGAGCCATATGTTGGAAAACATGGCTGTGTGGGGCCGACACCCGCCCACCTGCCTGCTTCACCAAACTCTCACTCTCACACTCTCTCTCTCTCTCTGAAGAACACAATAGCAACACACTGATGCGCATGCGCATTAAATCCCCACACACACACACACACGCCCACCTGCCTGCTTCACCAAACTCGCACTCTCACACTCTCTCTCTCTCTGAAGAACACAATAGCAACACACTGATGCGCATGCGCATTAAATCCCCACACACACACACACACGCCCACCTGCCTGCTTCACCAAACTCGCACTCTCACACTCTCTCTCTCTCTGAAGAACACAATAGCAACACACTGATGCGCATGCGCATTAAATCCCCACACACACACACACACGCCCACCTGCCTGCTTCACCAAACTCGCACTCTCACACTCTCTCTCTCTCTGAAGAACACAATAGCAACACACTGATGCGCATGCGCATTAAATCCCCACACACACACACACACGCCCACCTGCCTGCTTCACCAAACTCTCACTCTCACACTCTCTCTCTCTCTCTGAAGAACACAATAGCAACAAACTGATGCGCATGCGCATTAAATCCACACACACACACACACACACACACACACACACACACGCCCACCTGCCTGCTTCACCAAACTCTCACTCTCACACTCTCTCTCTCTCTGAAGAACACAAGAATAGCAACAAACTGGTGCGCATGCGCATTAACTACACACACACACACACACACACACACAATTTGCTTACAATGGATGTGCTAAAAAACACCCAACGGACCAAGGCGAGGGCCTGACCAAACTATTTTCCCAACAAATACTTCCAGAATGCTAATTGGAACACCCAATGGACCAAGGCGAGGGCCTGACCAAACTATTTTCCCAACAAATACTTCCAGAATGCTAATTGGAAGAATGTAGTTCCTTGGCTTTTTAAGATGCTGTGTGAGGTTCTGTGTATGATACTAAAAATTTTTAAATGACCTTAGTCTTTAAAGATTTATACTTGAGAAGATAAAATTAAAAAGTTAAATAATATATCAAGTATTAAATTACAATAATACAAAAACAAAGTTACAAAAAAACCCAACTATATAAACAAAATGACAAGTGAAGAAAGTAAAACCAAAATGGGTTAGTCAGAGAAGACTTCACAGATAATAATAATAGCTTTTTATTGAGTACTCAATATACACTCAGTGGAAAAGACGGGAAAGTGATTAATGCGGAAAACATGACAAGTACCAAATTTTTTTCCTTAAAAAATATTCATGGAGAAAAATAATTTCATTAAATTAGGCACCTTACATCTGTCCTATCCATTTATCATCACAAATGTTTATTGAGCATCTATATGTATTTGAACCAAAGTTCAGTACATCGATTCCAGTTTCTTGGCACTTGAAAGGAATCTGGAGTACACTGGTGAAACACCTTGCTCTGAGGTCACACAGCTGGTGGTAAGGCTAAAATACAGCCTATATTTGCTTATCTCGGAGCCCTTAACTCTAAATCCATCTACTTTTTTACCTGAAACACATGAAAATATACCAGTCATTAATTGGGATCAAAATGAGAGGTACAGGTATGTACGAGATCCTGTATTAATAGATCTTCCACTTACAGTCATGGTGAACTAGATGACTGGACCAACACTCCCTCAAAAAAACCCAAAAAAACCCACAACATAAAAAACTGAAAAAAAAAAATTAATAGCACAAAATCCCAACAAGAAAGAAAAACCAGAAAGACAATAAGAGCACAAAAAGGTGAACCACAGCTTCTGCCTGAAGGCATTTGCTGAGAGGCAGAGTGGCACTTCCGGTGGGGAGGAAAGGGTAAGCTCTGCTTTGGGGCTCTCTGCCAATCTGCTGGAAAGACTGAGAGGCAAGCAGCAATTTCTCGGAGACTAACAGAGCTGGACCAATGGGATCCAAGTTCCTTGCTTGGCCAAGGAGGATACACTAGCACTTTGGAAGAGAGGTTACAAATTCTATTCCAAGGATCATCCAGGTAAACCATAAAATCCTGAAGCCGTGGTCCTAGACTGTTAGCACCCTCTGGTGCCTGGTAGAAGGAAATGAAAATCCTCTCTGAAAGACAGCATCCTAGGCCTCCAATTATTTCTCAAAATATGTTTTTAAATAATTTGCCCAACAAGGTTTAATAAGGCATATTACAATATGAGCTAGAATCAACAAAAGCAACAGAAAGTAAGCAAAAATGGGGACTTCAGATACTGGAGTTATCAGAAAGACTGTAATACAATTACGCTTACCATGTTCATGGAGAAAAAGACGGGCTTTAAAGTTTCAGCAACAAAGTGGGAACCATAAAAATTATCATTTGAGGGGCCGGCCCGGTGGCGCACTGGATAAGTGCGCCGCTTGGGAAGCGCGGCGGCGCTCCCGCCGGAGGGTTCAGATCCCACATACAGACCGGTTCCCGCTCACTGGCTGAGCGAGGCGCGGGGGCAACACCGAGGGTTGCGATCCCGTTGCTGGTCCCCGGTCCGGTACGGGGGCAACACTGAGGGTTGCGATCCGTTGCCGGACACGGAAAACAACAAAAGACAAAAAAAAAAAAAAAAAAAAATTATCATTTGAAAAAAGAACCACCGAGGAACTGAGGAACTCTATGGCATACTCAACAGCAGATTAGACAGCTGAAGAACTGATAAAATAGAAGGCAGGTCTGAAGAACTTATCCAGAAAAAAGGATTGAAATGGAAAATACAGAAGACAGAGTAAGAGACATATGGGTGACAGTAAGTGGACCTAACAGAGGTTTCACTGGAGCCTAGAAGAGAAAACAGAATGGGGTAGAGGCAACGTTTAAAGAAATATAGCTGAAAACTTCTTATGACTGATGAAAGAAACTAATTTATTAATTCAAGAAACCCAGTGAAGCTCAACCAGGATAATATGGTAGAGTATTTACAAAAAAACGGCCACAATTCTTTCACTCCCTATATCCATACCCCTTTGTAATGTGACTTTGTAGCTCTTCACATCAAGAGGTGGAGTTTATTTCCCTACCCTTTGAATCTGGGCTTGCTTGACCAGTAGAATGTGGTGGAAGCAAAGCGCCCGTTCTGAGCCTAGACCACAAGAGGCCTTGTATGTATCTTGTCTTTTGAAACTCTGCTGTTGTGACATGAACAAGCCCAGGCTAATCTACTGTCTGATGAGATATGTAGCCCAATCACCTTCACTGCCCCAGCCAACAAACCAGCCAACCCAAAGAATCAGAGCTGCCTACCTGGCCTGCAGCTGACTACAGACACATGTGGGAGCCCCCGTGGAACCAAGCCCATGTGGAGTAGAAAAGAACCATCCAGCTGGGCCCAACCTAAATTGCCAACCTACAGAATTGTGTGCTAAAGAAATGATTGTTGTTTAAGTCACTAGGTTTTGGGGTGGTTTATTTCACAGCAAAAGCTAACTGACATAAATAAGTAAAATCAATGCACATAGACAAATCATAATGAAGTTGCAGAAAATTAAAGAAAAAATCTTAAAACCAAGTAAGTGCTAATACAATTTTTAGAGAGAAAAGTAATCTCCTAATGAGATTGATCTTTAAGTATTCCTAATATTTCAGTTTAGTGACAGTGTGAAAGAGTGGGGGAAGACACGCGTTCTAGGCAAAAAAATCACTACCTGAAATGTAGTCCAGTTTGGTGAAAATAATATAAGGTTAAAAAAAGTAGATGGATTTAGAGTTAAGGGCTCTGAGATAAGCAAATATAGGCTGTATTCTAGCCTTACCACCAGCTGTGTGACCTCAGAGCAAGGTGTTTCACCAATGTACTCCAGTTTTCTCACATGTAATGTAAATCATCTACTTTTTAAGGATTAAAAATATGTAAGTAATGTTGTGCTTGTTTACATAGTAAACCCTAGGTGTTAACTTTGACTCTAGAGATGGGAACCAATATAACTGTTGTGTGAGGGATTACAGAGAGCCAAAGAATCTGAGTTAGAAGGGGCCTTTGAGATTACACATTCTGTTCTCCATTTTTTGTGTGTGTGTATCCTCCATTTTTGATAGTTCCATTCCACTCTATTACTAGAAAGTTCTAATCCAAAGTCTACCTCTATGGAACAGAGAATAATCTATTTTCTTTTCTGAAAAACAGCTTTTCCAATAGGCAAAGGCAGCTAAGAGGTCTCCCATTACCGACAGCTTTTTTTTTTTTTTTTTGGTCTTTTTTCGTGTCCGGCAACGGATTGCAACCCTCAGTGTCGCGCCCGTACCGGACTGGGACCGGCAACGGGATCGCAACCCTCGGTGCTGCACCCGCACCTCGCTCAGCCAGTGAGCGGGAACCGGTCTGTATGTGGGATCCGAACCCTCGGCGGGAGCGCCACCGCGCTCCCAAGCGGCGCACTGTAGCAGTGCGCCACTGGGCCGGCCCGACCGACAGCTTTTGTAAAATAAAATGTTTAGACGCCAAAGGCCCGCTATCCTCCTCTTGTTACCCTCTATACCCTAGAACAAGTTAGAAGAAGAAAAAAGGTCATGTTTCCATAGGATTAACTCAACAAAGACCTATAAACCATGACCTCATACCTGCCCTAAAAGAAATCACATTCCAGTTAGGGAAGCAGACAAGTAAACAGACACAATTTAGCACTATGGTAGAGATACAGGATACCACTGGGCCTAGGAAGAGCAATTAACCAGGTCCTGTGCGTGTGGATGGATATGAGTGTGTGTTGGTTGTTGTTCAGAGAAGCCTTTCCGGAAGAAGTAACATCTACACTGAGTTTTGAAGAACCAAATAGGTTTTAGCCAAGTGAATAATACAGGCTATCACAACAGCTATCTACTCAAGTGTTCCCTCTCAAGGCTCTCCTCTTCTAAAACTTTATACAAGATAATGAACACAATGCATAATATGTACAAAAAGTACCCTACAAAATTTACAAAAATCCTTTTCATATGATTAATCTCTTACATCAACTTTAGACAGCTGTGTTAATTCATAGTTATGGGAAAGCATTTCTCACTGAGTTTTTAACAAGAAAAGCAGTATAGTCTGGTGAATTAAAATGAGCTTTTCAGAGCAGACAAACATGGGTTCGAATATAAGCTCTGTCCCTAACTATTCACTGATTCAACCAACATTTATTAGACTACTGTTATATATATCCTGCTAGTTGCTAGGAACAGGTAGTATCAATATTTCAGAATCCAATATATTCCATCATTCCTTCATATGGAATCCTTGTTACTCAGCTCCTAACATAAACTCTAAAATCACCGATATATTTCAAGAGTATTTCTCTCATAAAGCATGTATCTAGCAGAACTGTTTTGTTATGAGGATAAATTTCTGATACATTCGTGCCCTGATAGGAACAGATACATACCTGCAGGCAAAGCCAAGACTTTTCTCAGAAAGCAGCTCTGAAGGAGTTGCTAGCTAACACTGCACTGGCTATCAGTTATCAAGTACATTATTTCAAGTAATCTTCGCAATCAACCCATGTGGAAGATTTTTACAGTAATGGCCTCACAATTTCAATGTCCAGGTTAGAGCAGGTGTATTCTATTATATAGATCAAAATGATCTCAGTTTTCAGAATGTAAAACTTGAGAAGCACACTTTAAACAGAAAGCCTGTTCCTTACAAAAGAGCAGTGCTGTGAAATCTACAAAAAGAAAATGGAAGATATCTATCTACCTATTTACCTACGTACATGATTAACACTGTTGAACAACTGCTTGCAGGACAGGCACATGTCACAAATTTTAATTTGGAATGAACCTAAGCATTCTACATAAATCTCGACGAAATGCCTAAACAATCTAGATTCCTGCAAACACTACTCTAGCGTCCTCACGATATGAGGACATTCCACCTAATTGCCCTTCCTCAGAGTTGGTGGCGGAGAGGGTGTACCCAAAACACAAGGACCCACAGAGGATGGTCCGAGTGATTCTGGACGACATGATAGCGGCTATACCTCTTCAGCCGCCGTCAGCCCCGAGAAGACATCTCCCCGGAAAACTCTGCATCAAGGTCCCAGAATATAAATTTCCCTCAATCAAAAGGGGGGGGGGAGGGGCAAAGAGAGTCCAGGTTCGGTGTGAGAGGCTGGCCCCCAATGAGAACACGCAGCAGGGAAGGCTGCGAAGGCCGAGGGAGCAGTCGTCTCTCAGACCGCGTTTCCGGAACCCTAAGGGACCAGTAAGGAGTTGACAGTCATCTCAGGTCTATGGCCTCGAGGGTCCCTGCACAAGGTCCCCTCCAGCTTTCTGCTGCTCGCAACATTTGCTTCCACAGCGGACATCAGGCCCGCCCCCTTGGTCGTCAGGCCCGCTCCTAGCCTCACCCCTGAGAGCCTCGGTCAACCCAATGAGAACAAGTCCGTGGTTTCCTTCCCCACCTCTCTACTCCCGTGCTCCTGGGAAATACTCACTTGCCCGCCAGATCTTTATGAGAGCCGCTCGAATTCATGAGCTGGGCTAAATCCTGTCGCACGGCTGCCGCCATCTTTCTTCCAGCTCAGCCGCGGCTGCAGGGCCTCTCGCGCCAAGTAGAAAACGAGTGTGGTCCTCCAGAGTGCAGCCAGAGAGAACCCGAGATACCACAGAGTAGCGTCTATGTGGGCCAGAGCGCCAGGTGTGGGAGCCTGAGCTAGCTCCGCCCTCAGGGTTGAGTGACACGGAGCTCCACTCCTCCTGGAAGTCCGTCCAGGCCTCTCCCACAAGCTCTGGCTCGCACGCTCCGACTTCGGATTGGCTGATGAACTCCAAAGGGGTGTGTCGCTTGCGCAACTCCAGAAAGTGCCGGGTAAGTAAAACTACTGCGTTTTCACTAAGTTCCGAGTCTCACGTCTGTGGTTTACCGTTCTTCATTCTTAAAGGCAGCGCTTAAACTACCTGTGGTAATGAGTGAGTTGTTTCTATTTCCAATTCACCACAGACCGATAGTTTCGAAAAATACAACTAAAAGTTCCCATTCCCCCCCACTCTGTACCCTTTATAATGGTTGATCATACATTCTAGTTTGTCCAAGACAATACCATTTTCCATCTTTTGTCCTGGAGTAATTATTAATAACCACCCCTTTTCACTCTAGAAACGGTTCCATTTGAGTGACAAATAATATGGTCACCCTACCTTTATATATGATTATTTTCATTACTCATGTATCCTTATAGAATTTCTTCCTGCAAATACAAGCAAATAAATGTAAAATTTTCTCTCTCCTTTCCTGCTTTCTCAACAAGTAACATACCATGTCATTGTTCTACCCTTGATTTTTTCATTTTTCCTGGAGATCTTATCATATAAATCCAGTCTTAAAAAGTAATTCTTGAGTCAGGCCAGTTAGCTCACTTGGTTAGAAAGCAGTGTTGATAATACCAAAGTCAAGGGTTCTGATCCGGTACTGGTCAACTGCCAAAAAAAAGTCACTCATTTCAGAGCTGAGGAGTGAGATATGCCATAGTTTGTTTAATTCTTCTAGGACACAAGTTGTTTCTAATCAATCATTGCTACAATGAATAACCTTGTACCTACATCAGTTTATGTACGTACAGGTAGAACATTCCCAGAACTGAGTCAAATAATAGACATACTTATAATTTTGGTAGATATTGGCAAAATGCACTTTATAATGATGGTATCATTTTCCCCTCCTGCCAGAAATATATAGGGGTGCAGTTTCCCACAGCCTTGTCTACAGAGGATGTCAAACATTTGAATTTTTGCCATCTTGATATGTGATCAATGGCACATTCCCTCTATGTGAAAGAAAAGAAGCCCAGAACAAGGAATTCCTTTTAAGAAAGTAAGGTGGAGATTGCCCACATCAATTCAGGTTGCATTCCATCAGCAAGAACCTAATCACGTGACAATGCCTAGCAACAGTGAAACTGAAAATTTAGTTTCCAGTCGGGCAGCCTTGTGCCCAGGAAAAAGGAAAGGATGGATTTATGGAGCAATCATCAGTCTCTACTACAATCTGTCCCGTTGGCCACCTAAATATCCATGTGTCCTTCTCACAGTGGAACATACTCCTCTCTCCCTAAGGGAGAGAGTTCAATTTCCCAGTTTCTATATCAGCTCGAAATCCAGGCTGTCTAGTGATGTACAATCCTCTCCATCACATTGGGATGTGGCTTTTCATGGTCCAGAGACATACAAACTATAGAACAAATGTGGTAACACCAAGATCAAGCATTCAGATCCCTGTACCAACCGGCCGCCAAAAAAAAAAAGAATGTAAAACAAATTGTCTGTCCCTTGCCCATACATGAATACAAAATAGTAGTGGAGCAGAAACAGGACAACCACAATTCAAACTCAGAAAAAGCAAGAATGTTCCCACATAGCAGTTACTGGTCCATAGCAATGGCAGAATCCTGGGCAGGAATTATGAACACCCATTGCCCTGGGAGTGGAATAAGTTCCTTAACTAGAATTTGGTTCTCCTCTCTGCGGGGATTTCCATTGTTCATTGTATTCTGAGGCCCAAGCTTTGCCCACTGCATACAAGTTAACTGGACGTTGAGTGTACAGTAGTCCTCCCCCCCTCCCCTTATCCATGAGGGATACGTTCCAAGACCCCTCCAGTGGATGCCTGAAACCACAGACAGTACTGAATCCAGTTTCCATCAATTAGAACACATTTATGTTCATGTCTTCTACCCACAAATTTAATGTCTTTTCCATCTTAATTAAGCACTTATCACACATTGTGGCTCTAACTTGCAGTCTGAGGTGCAGCAGAAAAAGTAGCATATGATTTTTTTTTTCCTTATTAAGTTGAGAGGAAAAAGGCTTCTCTTTGGCCTATCTGAATTGCCAACATAACTCCTCTTGCTCCTTGGGACATTGTGAAGTAAAGTAAGGGTTACCTGAACACAAGCATTGTGATACTGAGATGGTCATCTTCTAACTGAGGCTACTGGGTGACTGACTCATGAGTGAGCGGGAGCGTCTACAGCATGGAGATGCTGGACAAAGGGATGATTCACTTCCCGGGAGGAGGGAGCCAGACAACCCAAGATTTAATCATACTACTCAGAATGGCACATAATTTAAAACTTATGAATTGTTTACTTCTGGAATTTTCCATTTAATATTTTCAGATTACAGTTCACCATGAGTAACTTAAACTGCAGATAAGATAGGGACACAGGTATTCCCTTTTTGGGAATGCCTTAGAGCTTGAACAGCTAAGGGCTTTTGTAGGCCAGGCTTTTCAGTGTTTGTGTGTTTTTTTTAAAAATTAATTAATTGTTAAAAAATTAATTAATTGTTTTTTACATTTTATTTTATTTTACTTCTCAATATACATTGTAGTTGATTTTCATGCTCCTTTACCCCTTTCCCTCCATCCCCTCCCCCCCCCCAATCATATCTGTTCACTTGACTTAAACAGTTCAAGGAATTTTTGTGATTATTCTTAAAAATTAATTAATTGTTTTTTATATTTTATTTTATTTTACTTCTCAATATACATTGTAGTTGATTTTCATGCTCCTTTACCCCTTTCCCTCCATCCCCTCCCCCCCCAATCATATCTGTTCACTTGACTTAAACAGTTCAAGGAATTTTTGTGATTATTCTGTCTTCTTCCACCACCACCCTTGATTTGTTTGTGTGTTTATTTATTTATTTTTAGCTCCCACAAATAAGTGAGAACATGTGGTATTTCTCTTTCTATGCCTGACTTGTTTCACTTAATATAATTTTCTCTAAGTCCATCCATGTTGTTGTGAATGGTAGTATTTTGTTCTTTTTTATAGCAGAGTAGTATTCCATTGTGTAGATATACCACAGTTTCCTTATCCAGTCATAGATGATGGACATTTGGACTGGTCCCAACTCTTGGCTATTGTAAATAGAGCTGCAATGAACATTCGAGTACAGGTCTCCCTTCAGTATGATGATTTCCATTCCTCTGGGTATATTCCCAACAGTGGAATAGCTGGGTCATATGGTAGATCTATCTGTAATTGTTTGAGGAGCCTCCATACCATCTTCCATAAAGGCTGCACCATTTTGCAGCCCCACCAACAGTGTATGAGAGTTCCTTTTTCTCCGCAACCTCGTCAGCACTTACCATTCTCAGTCTTTTGGATGTTAGCCATCCTAACTGGAGTGAAATGGTGTTTCAAAGTTGTCTTGATTTGCATTTCCTGGATGCTGAGTGAGGTTCAGGATTTTTTCATATGTCTGTTGGCCATTTGTATATCTTCCTTTGAGAAATGCCTATTCAGCTCCTTTGCCCATTTTTAAATTGGGTTATTTCTTTTTTTGCTGTAAAGTTGTTTGAGTTCCTTATATATTCTGGATATTGATCCTTTGTCAGATGTGTATTTTGCAAGTATTTTCTCCCACTCTGTTGGTTGTCTTTTTACTCTGTTGATTGTTTCTTTTGCTGTGCAGAGGCTTTTTAGTTTGATATAATCCCATTTGTTTATTTTTCCTATAGTTGCCTGTGCTTTTGGAGTCCTATTCATGAAGTCTGTACCTACTCCTACTTCCTGGAGTGTTTCCCCTATATTTTCTTTAAGGAGTTTTATTGTTTCAATATGTATATTTACTTCTTTAATCCATTTGAGTTGATTTTGGTATATGGTGAGAGGTATGAGTTTGGTTTCATTCTCCTGCATATGAGTATCCAATTTTCCCAGCACCACTTGTTGAAAAGGTAGTCTCTTCCCCAGTATGTAGATTTGCTGCCTTTGTCAAACATCAGATGGCTGTAGGCATAAGGATTGAGTTCTGGGTTCTCTATTCTATTCCATTGATCCATGTGTCTATTTTTATGCCAGTGCCATGCTGTTTCAGTTATTATAGCTTTGTAATATAGTTTAAAGTCAGGTGGTGTTATGCCTCCAGCTTTATTTTTTTTTGCTCAGGATTGCTTTGGCTATGTGTGGTCTTTTGTTATTCCATATAAATGTCTGGATTGCTTTTTCCATCTCAGAGAAAAATATCATTGGAATTTTGATGGGGATTGCATTGAATTTGTAGATCACTCTGGATAATATGGACATTTTCTCAATGTTAATTCTTCCAATCCAAGAGCAAGGGATATCTTTCCATTTTCTTGTGTCCTCTTTAATTTCTCTCAACAGTGGTTTGTAGTTCTCTTTGTAGAGATTTTTCACAGTGTTTGTGTTTTTTTAAAATAATTCTATAAAATATTCAGTAAGCTCTGACTATTTGCTTCCAGACAGTTTCAGGTGCCAGTAACTACACCCAAAGTTCTTTCTAGAAGTAGTTGTTAAACCTGCCCTATGTCCTGGCTTCCATGCTCAATCCATTCTTAATACCCTCTTTTTAATGGTGGCAGGCTTGAAATCATCTGCAATAATAGGCTTAAGTGAGAAGAGAACTCTATTAATTTGATTTTGCTTCAGCTTATCTTTGCTTTCTGTTGTTTTTTGTTTGTGTTTGCCAAAAAGTCTTAATAGCTATGAGAAATCTCTAAGTCAAGTCTTTTCTTCAGCTATTTAGGTGGACATAAACAGTTGGCTTTTTCAACTCAGTAAAGGCCCAGAATTTCTGATCATTCTATTCCCTTTTTACCTTGACTTCAAACTTGA